CGCAGCAGGCCCTCCTCGTTACAGGTGATATTACTGGGACTTTCTTATGTGACTGATGTAGCTTTGCCATACCTTTGAATCTTCGCCCTTCCCTGGCTGGCTCAATGCGGTGGATCGGTCCGGAAGTCTCGCTGGCTGCGAAGGCATAAAAATTTATTGATAAGAAAGTTATTCGCAAATGGCGTGGTGTGAGACGACGATAATAACACCTTGACAGACTGCATCGTATTAATTGCGCATTTGCTGAAATAGCAATTAAAAATGGAAATGGGGGTGTTATACTGAATTGTGAACTTTCGTTTATGCCATCAAAGACTTTTCAGTGTGATTACCGCAGTCATCGTACTGACGAGGTCCAATTGTGGTAATGGTAAGAAATGTATACGACTTAATGGACCGAAACATTATTTTAATAAAATCATTACAATAGTAAGAACCATTATAATAAATTTATTAAAATAATTTTACCACTTTTACTAATTTCTTAATATTATTTTCTCTTCTGTTCTTCTTTCTACATCAAAATACCTTTCTAGTGCATTTTTGCAGCATCCAGATGCGCAAAGAACTACGAAGAAGAGATACGTAACTGTAAAATAGACATGGAAGAAGGATGGCCCGTGTTTGATTTAATTTTGCTTGGAGTTGGCCCAGATGGTCATACCTGTTCGTTATTTCCGGGGCACTCTTTGTTGAAGGTAAGCGAATCGAACCTTTCTCAGTTGAAGTTTAGCTTCTTCAGTCGTATGCTGTGCTCCTCCCTCCGAAATGTTCATTTTGGTACTCAGTCTGTATATTTTGATGATGATATGTTACCCCCAAAAAGCGGGCCCCCAAGGAACCATTTTTTGTTTATTCCGATTTTTTTTGGAGTAATTTTATTCGTTTTTCATTTTTCCTATCCGTTTTATTCTTCCATCCTTCAATCTTGTTCACTTTTTTTGATTTGTTTTGGTTTTTAAGCTGTTAGTTTTGGTATTTTTTTTGTTAGGAATTTCAGGAAGACACAAAATGGGTAGCAGCAATCGAAGATTCACCTAAACCACCGCCACG